TGTTTTTCACAGTAACTCATCAGAAATGTTTGGATACCACTTCACATCTCAGTTCTTTCAGTAGGGTTACATTGTGCAAAACCATCTCAGTGGCTCTTTGCTAAACTTGTCCCACTGTGTGCCAGTAGTCCTTATGCTGGGGAGCCCAAAACTTGAAAGTCCTTTCCAGGTGATGTCTCAGAAGTGCTGGATAGAAAGAAATAGCCATTTCCCTTGGTGTGCTGACTGCTTTGGTTCTGATACCCTGATTGCAGTAGGCCTTCTTGGTATGGATGCATCACCAGTTCATACTGGGCTTGTCCACCAGGATCCCCACATCATTTTATGCCAAGCTGTTTTCCAGCCTGTCAGTCCCCCAGCCAGTTCTGGTGCGTGGGGTTACTTCAGCTCAAAGTGCAAGATTTTGCATTTTGCCTGTGCTGACATTGACAAAGTTTAGCCTGTTATTTCAGCCTGACTAGGTGCCATCTTAGTTTTTTGCAGAGTCTCTTCTGTCCAGTCTTCCAGGCTGTTCAAACAGCATCAGCTCCTGAGCTGGGCTTTGGGCATAATTTTGGGATCTGAATACTTGTCTTCCACTATTACTAATGGATGTCTTGGACACAACAGAATACAAAACACAGCTTTCTAGTAATGTTAAGGGTAGAGACTGGAGTAATTCATTGGAAGCTGGCAAGCTTCCCTGAAACTTGTTATTTAGCTGTCTGTTAAAATATTGGCTCTTTTGTCACGTACTTCAATTAATTTTTTCATACTAAGTGCTTTCTACATACTTTATCTAGTTCTGAATTATTTTTGGCCCTGTTTCTGTTCCTTCTGTCTCTTCTGTTCTCTGCCATTTTGGCATAGCTTTTTCTCCTCAGCATCGTTCTTTTAAATAAAGAGCAGTCAGTAAAAAAATAACATTTCACAGAAAAATATTCTTGACCATCTTTTTCCCTCTCATTCTGTAAACAGGAGATCTGCGTGGTTCGTTTTACCCCGGTAACTGAAGAAGATCAGATCTCCTATGCATTGCTGTTCGCCTATTTCAGCAGTAGAAAACGTTACGGTGTAGCGGCCAATAATATGAAGCAAGTGAAAGATTTGTACCTCATCCCTTTAGGTTCCTCAGACAAAGTCCCTCATCACCTTGTGCCTTTTGATGGGCCTGGTAAGTACAGCTTGGAATTTGGTATTTTGTGATCATAACGCTACTTAGAGAAGTTGGCAATAAGAGGAAATGAAATTTAAAAATGCTATTTTATTCAAATATGGAATGAGTTTTCCATAGCATTATTATATTAGTTTCCTTGAAAAGATATTAATTTCCCCTTGCTAGATTATTGTGATACTTCAAAGAGGAAAAGATTAGTGTTTACAACCTTGTTTTATGTCTGCTACCTTCTTTCTCTAACACAGGAGGCTTTGTAGGTTTCAATGTCAGTAAACTGAGTTACACAAGTGGACTATGGTAGAAGTCATTAGTTCCAAATTGGTACTCTCAATTTAAAATAGTATTTTTCATTATTTTAATTGTTTTTATCTTTTTCTCAAGTATTCCAAAGTTCCTTACCAAAAAATACATTGAAAGTTTAAAACATAGATGGGCAAGGAAAAGAAGGTCTTGATATGATCTGTGTACACTTGTGTTGATCTGTGTATGCTTGAGTTACTTTACGTCAGTTTATCTTGGTTATAAAAATTTGTGGATAATCTTTCTTTTTGAGATAAGCAGGGCCAAAATGAAGAGAGAAAGAGCTAGAACTATTTTCTTTTGCCATTATATGGAACAAAATAGATGGTGAGGAGATGGGTAATAGTATGCTTTGAAACACAGCACCTTTCCTGGAATGAGGGAAACATTTCTGAAATTTTTCCCGGTAAATCTTTGAAGGAGTATGTCCAATACAAATTGATGAGGAGACTTTTTGTTTGCAAGTGTTCTGTTTACTTTTTTTTTCCGCTATTATACTTTGCTACCACTGTTACCATGTTGTAGCTGGGTTAGACTGATGTTTAACTTCCATGCTGATTCTGATGAGATTAGATGTCCTATCTGTCTCATATTCTCTGTTTGGAAGTTATAGTGTACTTGAACCAATCTTAAGTTGCAGTGCTTGAAGTCATACTTTTAATACTGGAAATATATATTTTTATTGTTTTAAGTATTGTTAATGTTTAACATGACAAGCAGAACAAATTCTAATGCCATAAGATTAATACTTTTGATTATGTATGTGTATGGGGGTTATTTTTGTTAAAATTCTTGCCTTAACCAAAATACAAAGAGATGATAAATTGCTGTTGCAATTTTGTACAGGGATTGAAATACATCGACCAAATTTATTACTGGGATTGATAATTCGCCAGAAGATGAAGAGGCAGATTACTGCTGTTTCAAGTGTAACCAGTAGTTTTGCAGATGAAGCTGCTGAAAGTACCTTGAGTAGCTTGCCACCAGAGAAGAAAAGCAAGCCAAGCAAACCTGAAGTCTCACATCATGATTTGGCACTAGAAGAAGAAGAGGAAAATAATTTTTTTAATTCCTTCACAACTGTGCTGCACAAGCAGAGAAATAAACCACAGCAGTCTAATACAGACGATGCTCCAGCAGTTATTGAACCGTTGGTGGAAAGTACCAAACATGAGCCACCGAAGCCTCTCAGGTTTCTTCCTGGAGTCCTGGTTGGATGGGAAAATCAGCCTTCTACTTTGGAGCTAGCAAATAAACCGTTGCCAGTGGATGATATTCTTCAAAGCCTGTTGGGCACAACAGGGCAGGTGTATGAGCACGGCAAGTCAGAAGCAGGTGCTAGTGAAGACATACCATTATTAAATGAACAGGCAGCCTTGAAAGAAGAAACCATGGATGTTGCTGAGGTAACTGCTGAAGCTGGTGAAGCAAAGACTGGTTTGGATGATCCTCAAGAATCCACTAATGCTGCTGCAACTGTAGATGCAGCAGCTGTAGGGACCTCAAGTTCTGCAAGAAGTACTGGTTCTTTGATAGGGCTGACTCTTAAGGGAAAACCTCCAGATGTCTCCACAGAAGCATTTTTAGCAAATTTGTCTGCTCAGGCACAGAATAAGGAAACTGAAGAAAGTAAGGAAAATGACTCAAAGCGACAGATACCAGACAAAGATAGTGTTGCACAGGAAGTTAGAAGGAGCACAAATTCCAGCTTTTCTTCCTCATCAAATTCAGGAAAAAAGCCCAGTGAGAACAATGTTAATGTAGGCTCTGCTGAAGGTACTACTGCTAATACCTCTAAATCACCACCATTTATTAATCTTAAAAGGGACCCACGACAGGCAGCTGGACGAAGCCAGCAGACTAATATTTCAGAAAACAAGGATGGAGATGTTAGCAGAAATGAAGACCGACAAAATGCTTCAGGAAATGATCAAGGAGAACCAGAGAATAAACAGCTTTCTGGAGAAGGGGGCTTAAACCTGTATCAAAGTGAGACTCCAACCAATGAGACACCGTTCAGTTCAGCTGCAGCTAAGGCAGATAACACAGTTGCATCACAAGCAGAAGATACCAAACACTCACAGGAAGATGGATTGATGCAAAATATTGAAACAGTGAACTCATTTAGAAGAGGACAAGCCACAACTTCATCTCATTTTGAAACTGAAAACTCTTCTCGTTCTGAATTTATTTCCAAAGTCCCAAGCCCTGTTGCAAGTGGCAGCTTCTCATCTGTTGGACCTCCTCAGCAGAATTTTCAGCATTCTAAATCTAATCCACCTGGATTTCAGTTTCAGGCTCCTGTACCTCATAACTTCCCTCCACAAAACAACCCTATGTTTGGATTTCCTCCTCATTTACCACCTCCGCTTCTTCCTCCTCCTGGCTTTGGTTTTCCTCAAAATCCAATGATGCCATGGCCACCAGTAGCTCATTTATCAGGTCAGCCACCACAGTATGCTGGACCCATTGCACAAGGGCTACCAGTGGCTCACAAACAATCAAGATTTTTGGGACCAGAAAATTTTTTTCAGAGTAAAGACAGTAGGAGACCAGAAAGACGCCACAGCGATCCTTGGGGCAGAGAAGAACAGCATTTAGAGAGAGGATTCAGTAGAGGAAAAAATGATCGACAAAGACTTTACAGTGAAACCCATCACCAAAAAAAAGACAGACATGAAAAAGAATGGAGCAATGAAAAATACTGGGAGCAAGATTCCGAAAGAAACAGGCGCAGAGACAGAAACCAGGAAAAAGAGAGAGAGCGGAAGAGTAGAGAGGAAGGACAGAGAGACAAAGAAAGAGCGCGATCCCCACACAGTGATAGAGCTGCTGATGGAAAAAGCCCCAGAGAGACTAGAAATCCAGAAAAAAAGACAGAGAAGCCTAAAAGTGATGAACAGGTTCATGAAAAAGATAAGGAGAGGGAGAAAAGCAAAGACAAGCATAGAGAACGAGAAAGTGAAAAGAACAGAGAGAGACATAGGGACCACAGTGACAGAACTAAAAGCAAAAGGTAAAAAGATGCAGGCAGTCTTTTAAAATCCTATTTAAATAAACTGTTAGAGTAATGTCGTAAAACTTTGTATGACAAAAAAAGAGAGCCTGCTAGGATTGTGCCATTGTTTTTTATTCTGTGTTGGTGTTTTGCAGAAACAAGTCTGTGTTTTGGTACCACTCAATGTACCAATACTCATCCTTTTTTTCATTATACCAACTATCGCTAGAAGTAGGAGTTTAATATTTTAAAAATTTTACATTGCTGTATATTCAAAATTTTAAAGATTTCTTTTTATTAATATGCAATAAAGGCTTAGGAATTTTCTTAGCTGAGGAAGTTGGCTTTAGTCAAGTCTGCAGTATAGTTGCTGCCTTTGGTAATTTGTGCTCTCTTCTGTTTTAAGATGCCCTGATAATTTTAAAGGTCGTTTTCATACAATACCCTTGTTTTTAAATTGCACTGTTTTTAAAGACTGCAGCAAAGCCTCAGAATCCACACATTACAACAAAATGTAATATGTTCGGTGGTGTGAAAAGTTTGGGGTTTTTTTTAAATTATTCAGTAGTACAAAAAAAACTCAAGTGTATTTCGTTATATTATATTTCAAGTTTTTCCTAAGCATCTGAAGCAATTTGTGACCAGAAATTGGAAGGCTGAGCTGCTCGAATGTTACTGCTTTAAACTGCACTTGTTTTAATGAGAAAGCATTTCTAACCTAAATTCTTGAGAATTATTTGTAGTAGTAAATTCATTTCTCCCACCATTTTCCATGCTTCAAAAACTTGAATACCTGAGCTTGTACATTACTTTGTGTTTTGCTATCCTTTTTACTGTAAAATGTAAATATTTTAAGGGATATTTTGATTCTAAAATGATAAAACTTTCTCACATACTGTGTGTGTTTGATTTCATAGCTGTGAAACTGTAGGCTGAATGAATACAGAAGGCTGAGTCTCAGAATGCCACATTTGTTGTGCACTTTATAGCTCCGTTTGTTTTGAGTTTTGGAGAACAAAGAGGGGGGAGAAGGGCAAAAGTGTTTCTACCCTTGGGACTTCTGGTAACTTGGTATTTTGTGGACTACCATCTAGCAGTGCCAAACAACATGCAAATGTGTAAACAAAATCACCTACTCTAATACTTTTTAAAATACACTGGGCATCTTATTGAGTCTGTCAGAAACAACAAAAATATTCCACCGTATAAAGAAAAACTGAGGTTTATTCTGGCTTTCAGTGTTTTGTTTTTCCACTTTGAGTACACAACCTTACTACGCTGCTGACAGAGCATTTTGCACTTTGCTGTAGAAAAGCCTCTTCTGTCCAAAAAAGTCTTCCCAGTTTAACAACATCATAATTGTTAGTTTTAATTATGAATATATTTTAAGGTAAATTTTTACTTGGATTCATTGCAAGTAACTTCATGGTCAAATTGGCTAAAATTTAAAATATTGTGCTAAATAAAGGAGGTGGTAGACTTTTCATTAAGTTTTTTCAGCTCATTGTTGAGAAGACTAATTAAAAAAAATCCTCAGCTAAAAGTGACATTCAAACATCTTTAAAATAAAACTAGTCTTTTCCAAATTAATTCCATGGTCTGTATGTAAAGCAGTAGTGCTATTGAATATATCTGGTAGTAATACATGTGTTTTGTTGTTTAAATATTTGCACTGAGTTCTGTAGGCACAGAAATGCACTAAAGCATTGTTCTCATTTTTGGAGTAAGTTTTAAATTGACAGCTCTGCGTATGAAGATTTTCTTTTGATCCATTCAAAAGTAGTCTACTCCAAGGTCACTGGTGATCTGCCTCTCACATGTGCATCCATCTCTGCTCTGAAAATAACCTGGAAGCAGTGAAGCAGTGAAAATTGCAACTGCCTGTATGGAAGGGATAGGAATGCTTTCTGCCAGAACTACCAGAAATAATTTGTTTAAAAGAATATGTAAACATTTTTCAAGTTTGCTGAGTGCTTTGCCACCTGCCTTGTGTATGCAAAACCTGAAGAGAGCCACAGTAAAACAGCTCTTGAGGGAGAGTTCTCTTAAGTGTTTAAGTTAACAAACAGCAAAAGTCTCCAGGATTTATTCCAAGGACGTGAGTTAGTGTAATGGGAATAAATCCTGCTACTACAAGAATAAAGGATTTTACTTTTCCATTGCCTTCAGTCACTCTCCTTCCAACATTTGTGTTTGCTGGAAGTGCTCTGATTACTTGTTCCTTGTTTTACACCAAATCACTGCACAGATCACACAAGGCAGTGTGGACTGCTGAGGAACTGGCAGTACACCAGAGGCCCCAGAGAGAACAGGATAAACCTTAAATATGCTCCCTTCTCCAGCATCACGTGGCCATAAAAGCCTCTACCTAGATGAAACTGAAGGAGAAGAGTCTGGGACAGCTCAAAAGTCAGATGGGCTTCATGAGCTGCCTTTTGGGAAGAGTTGCAGAAGCTCTGTTGCCTCAGACTGATCCACTTGAGGGCTCAGAGCAGCTGAAGAAAATAGAATGAACCTCACAAAGATATTTGCAAATGCTTAATGAAACATCTTGGGGTAGCTCCCATGCACTTCAGTTATCGTTTAGTCACCTGTAACTGACTTGACAGTGCTTTCATTGCTAAGCTGGTAAGTGGTGAAGTATGGTGGTGTGGAAGCAAGTGTGTGTCACCCAGTTTTAGGTGCTTATGGCCATTGCCCTATAACATACATCCATCCTCACTTCCCTCTCTGCCCCAGAATAGTTACTTGTTTCTGACAGGTATATGCTGAAGACTTGCATTCAGAGAATTTTCATGCAAGGAGGTAATGGTTTGTTATGTGCTTTTTAGCAATAGTAAAGTGGAAAAGGAAGAAGATACAAATCAATCACTATTTATTTTTATTTAATAATTTTACTAATTTTGTAAGCCAGCAGTCAGATGAGAAATGTAGATGCCATTTTATATTATTGGCACATTAAGATATATAAGCACATTAAGATAGAATTTTAATTTTTTTTTGCTTCCTAGAGCAGAATATAAGACAGCTTTATGAGAAGGAATTTATTTTTTTGTATTCATGTATGAACAGCTCTACTTACTTTTGAGACTATCAATTAATAAAACATATATTTGCAGAAATTTGGTTTACTATGACCAAAACCTCTGTACTCATAAATTTTTGAAATGTCATTTAGGGGCATATAAGCCAGAAAGGTATAGGTAAAGTAGAACAGTTCTTGGACTTTTTAAAGTCTTAAGAATAAAAGTTACTTGTAGACAGACTGCCACATTGCAGTTATAAATCATTAAAGCCAAAGGTTTTCATGTAGTCAAATAGGGGAGATCTCTGCTGGAGAAAACCAGGAGGCCTGTTTTCTCTCTCTAAAATTATTTATGGTTTTTGCTCTTAAAATCATTCTTTAAGAGTAATATTTTAGCAGACTTAAGAGAGGCTTGAATTCTACCCTCTTACATATAGTACATACTAGATGGACACAGATAAGGGAGTGAGAACAACTTTATTACCTAATTAGAGTCTTTTTGAACTTAACAAGTAATTACAGCTGTTGCATTTTTTAAAATTCTCATTACAATAAATGTGGATTTTGCCTCAAACATACTGTTTCTTCCTCCACCAATTTCAGTTTTTAGACTGGATCTTAACATTATAAAATAAACATTTTAATAATATTCTACAGTTGGAGAAACAGGTAACAGTTTTCCATTTTCATATAGCAACAAACAACACTTGAATGATGGTTGGCTTTATAATCCCTACCTCTTTCTTTACAAAACTATTTCCAGCACAATAAAGAAAAAAACCCCTTCAGACTTTCCCATAATTTTAAAGTAAATGCTAAAGAGTATATATAAATAATTCTATGAGGAAAACAATTGATCATATTTTATATGTATGTGTTATTAATACTCCACTTAAATTTGTCCCTTATTACTTTTTAAAAATGCTTTCCTATGTTGGTTGCTGAGTCATACACTGCCAGCTAATACAATAAACAGGAGGAAAAGGAATTTTACCTTTTTAATAGAGTGTTGGACAGTTTTTTCAATAATTTCCAGAATTTCCATCATGAATGTTGTATCCTTCTGCTTTCATTAGCTGAATCTTTTTAGAATCTTGGAAGAGCACAACATCTTTAATCTTACCAATGAATTCCTTCTGGAAAAGCCCTGTAGTGACTATATTGACTTTTCTGCCAATTTCAAACCCACCAAAGTAACAAATGCCACCATAGTTTAAAGCAGTGTATTTTCTTTGTGGGTCAATATCTTCAAAAAGGATTAGTTCCTCATCAAGATAAACCTTAACACAAGTTTGGTTTTGAACTACAGTAGTGAAATGCCATCTTCCATCAGAACAGGTGAAATACTTTCTGTGCATTAGAGGAACAGAGATTCTTTCTCCAAGATTAATTGCAACTTTTAAAGTTCCATTGGCAAGACCAATAGCAAGGAAGTCATTATCTTCATCTTCACTTTTTCCCATCCATGCTATTAAGCCTTCAGTTTGATTGGTAGTAAAATTTAAAGAAAGGCGGCTGTGCTGGAGGTCTCTTTTTCCATAAAAAGGATCTGTGTATTTAATGTAGGAGTTGCCAACAAACTTTGCTATATAAAATTTGATTTTGTTATCGCAGTACTTACCTGTCCAGCCTAGTGCACATGCACAGGTATATGAAAATGAAGAAGGTTGAGGAATACAAAGTGCATGAGACCCACACATGTTTTGTGAACAGTGAATGGATTGTTCACACTTGGTCCCTGTCCAGTCTTTTGGGCAAGAACAAGAAAAGCCTGAGTTTCCAACTTGACATGTTCCATTATTTTTGCACACAGTGTAACCACAATCTGTTCCATCACAGTCACCAATGTTGGCTCCACCCTTGGGGTCAGTCACGGTAAGATTCAGTTCCCTGTTGTTTATAACCATTTCTCGAATACAACCAGTGAAACCTGTGGGCTCATTTTCTGTTGCCATTGGATTAACAAGGTTTAAGGAGGATACGCCCCCAACAAAAAAATCTGAGTGTGTGTCTAGTGCGTTCATTCCAGGACTGGCTTTTTGAGTAACGTTGATACCATCCAGGTCCAGGTAGCCTTCATTACCAACTCTTCCTGCATTAAGTAAGTGCCATGTGTTTCCATTTGTGTGCACCTTCTGAAGGGTCTGTAGGATGACTGTTCTGTCTCCAAGGTTGTAGCGTAACTGTGTAAATCCATTTACTAATGATATACATAGAAAATCACCTGTAAAAAAAACAGTATAAAATATTTTTAAGTTTTAGAGGGGTGTACTGAAGAACAACATATTAATGATTCTGATGCTTTCATGCCTGCATTTCCTTGTATCATCATTATATCTAAATCACACAAAGGGAAATGTTCCCTGATGAGCTGCTTTTAGCCTTTTTTTTTTTTCTTCCTCATTATTGGAAACTGAGCTCATGTTTGCCTCAAAGTAAAAAGCCTAGCGTTCTGAAATGCTCTGCTTTTATGCAAAGACTGGATAACTGAGATAGGAGGAAACAGGATCACTTTGGCATGTAGGAAGTGTGAATCTGTGTTCCCATGGAAAATGAAAAAGTTTTTGCCAAGTTACAAATGCAGAAATACTCTCAACCTCAGTATGTTGAATAAAGGCTTGATAGATTTGTCAGTTTAATGAACAGTTTTGTCTGCACCAGACATACTCTGCTTTCCCTGAAGGCTCCTTTTCACAACAGGGATGTTTTAGGTTTAATAATCTGACAGCTGTAGGAACAGATACGTTTTTTATTGCATTGTTCTTCTAGAGGCCTTTGTGACAGGAAGTATTAGAAGGGAGTTCTCTCTTCTTGTACTATCAGTGTTTCTGTCCTTACGGGCAGTGTAAAAGGAGAGAGTACCACTTCAAACTGTACTTCCAAGGATGAAAAAGGAAAACTGGGAAAGGGTAGGAAATGGGAGACAGAGAAGTTTGTAAGGGCAGCAGTAGAGCCTAATAGGGGAAGGTGACAGGGAAGCAGAAGAGAACAGCAGAAAAGTCTGCAAATTAAAGTTTTGTTCTCAAATTTTTTGAGATTTGCCTATGCAATTTAACTTTTATACCTTACTTTTGGAAATAATAGGGATCTGGTTGTTGTCCATTAAACTGGTAAATATGTTTGTTAAATTTGAATGTAAGCTTTCCTAATAGTTACCAGTCCAGTTTCCTTAAAGATTAAACATTCCTAAGGGTGGACCTATCAGAATGATGGCATTTGCTTTCATGTGTGTTTAATTTTTGAGTATTTCTAATCCTTGGATTACACTGCCTGTAGTGAAATTGAATGGCTTAATTTACTGGAGGCTTGTGAAAGTTGCCAAAATTATACCTCCCTATTCAAGAGATGTTCAGATTGCCATTTAGGCAGGCTAGAGATGTTTTACTTGTATTAGTGGCTGTAGAGCCCATCATGCCTCACCTTCCCTGCTCCAGATACCCATGGGAAGAACAAGAAAAAAGCTCTTCCTTCTTTCAACTCTGGTGATAGCAGAGCGCTCCCTTCTAGCTTGCTAGTTCCAGTTGTGGTAATCTGGTTTACTTCTCTGTATTAGTGTTCTTTTCAAGGACCTTCCTTGTTTCTTTTTTTCCAGAAAATTAATATAATTTCTTTCACTTGAGATTTCTCCTGCTTAGTGATGTGGCTTTGTGTGCTTGATTTTTCAGTACATAGTTTGAATGCACTCATCTTGCTTTCTTCCAGCAGTGTACATAACCTGCTTGTCTATGTCTTTTATCAGGCCCTCAATCCTAGGGTAAGAAAGGAAGATAAGGAAAAGTTTCTGAGCTACCTCTTTGGCAGCCTTTGAACCCCTCTCCTTCCTGGACATGCAGACCTGTGTAAGGACACAAGTACTCATATTTTGCTGTCTAGGAAGGAGGAAAACATCTGACCAGGGTTGCTGTTGCATCTGACCTGTAATCAAGACCTGGAGAAACTGGCAGTTCTCCAAGACTTCCTGGCCTGCAGGGGAGGGCTTTGGTGGTTTTGCACATTTGACAATGATCTGTTTTGGAATCTTATTTAGTCTTATTGCAAGAACAAATCTGTGTTACTGAATCTGCTGTCTACAGTGTAAAGAGGTTATTGCTGAATGTTCTGGCACAAATTTGAAGCTTCACTTCAAACTAGAGTAACTACTTCTGCTACTTTTGAACAAAAAAATTACACTTCCAATTTCACCTCTCCCAAGGCCTTTCTTATTCCTCTGATTAGACACGATCTTTTCACAAATGATTTTCTATTTTAGTTGTTTGCAAGAACAACAGAGTGTTGAGATATATTTTAGAATCTGAAAGTTGATCCTAGAGTGCAGTCAGTATTTCTCCATGAAGTTTATCATATCATAGGTACAACTAGGGACAACTGGCTGAAAGCATCTTAGGACTGTCATGTAAAGTGCTGGGTGTTCACTGTCCAAGAAACTCCTTCTGAAAGTGAAGGGAAATAATGAGCTTGTCTTTGATGCTTTTCAATTTAGCAACCAGTAATGTTTTCAACAAGAGATCTACATCTGCCCTGTCTCTGAGGGCCAGGTTGCACAGCTGGAGCCTGCGCAGGCGATGTCTTCATAGGAGTTGTATCACCAGTTTAAACAAATGGCATTCTTGCCACTGGTTTTCTCTTCTCAGTCTCTGTATAGGAGACCAAGAAGTACTACAGTTTTTACTATTTCAATTTGATGATAGCTCAGACCTGCCTCATTTAACCTGTGGCCAGAGACCTTTCTGAGGAGGTTGACTTTGGTTAAGCATGAAGGAGATGACATCCTTAGTTTTTCCAGCACTAGACTGTACAGCTGGTCCCTGCTTTCTTGAAAATACAATCTACACGTAGGACACACAACTTGGCTTCTGGCTTTTTAGATTAGCAGCTCACTTAATATGGGCTATTAATTTCCATCAGTGGTGTCATAAAAAAAACCAGACTCCTGAGACAAGCATTCATAGTTTTCTTTTATTCTGCATGCAGCCTGTTGGATGCAAGGAGCTATAAGGCAACCTGTGTCAGTAAGGTTGAATCTTCTTTTGAAGTAGGCTGTTGTAGCTTAGCTGGGCCTTGAAATTGCAACATGTCAAGACCCTGGGCATTGAACAAAATCATTAACAACATTTTGTTCTGTTCTGATGCACCTTCTTGCCCCTGTAATATTCACTGTTTCAGTAAAACAGTGATTTTTTTTTTTTTTTTAATAGCCCAAATGCTAATTCCCTTCTTCTCAAGAGAAGGGAATTTGTAGGCAGTATTGCCTTAAAGGAAGAGCCTGTTCTGGAGATAAAACAGCACTTCTACCTGCAAGTCTTAGTTTGAGGTTTTCACCAAGTGACTGAAGGTCAAAGTTGCTCTGCCTCAGAGTGGATTGTCTGTATTTAATATTAGCAGCCAGAACTCCAAAGCAGGAGTGAATTTTTCTTCGTAACTTTATTTTCCCGTTTTTCTTCTTTCACAAGTCTCACCTGCTCCCATACTGCATGTCAGAATTCCCAGAAGGCTAGTCAGCCCTGTGTCTTCAGCAGTCACTTCCTCAAACTGGGAGATAATGAAAGTCTCCTAAAAGTACATCCAAGTGCTACTGTAAGATCTGGATTATCTGTAGTAGTATTTTCTTATATGACTTCTTATGATGAATTCTGAGTGCATCACAAAATTTTTCAGCTTGCTACTACTATGAATATCTGTGTAAGTCTCTTCAACAAATTGGTTGCAGTCTCACAGTCAAATTTTAAATGCTTCCAAATGGTAACAATGCCTTTTCATGTTCAGTCTTTATCTGGAGATGCAGATGTGTCTGTATACCCCCATTCTAACTAAGATCATGCTCAAGCAGTATCAACTCTCCATGCTTCTATGTTACCATGGGAAACTCATGTATATCATAATTTGTCAAAACTTGGTACAGTTGGAAATGCAATCTAGGAAAATTGCACTCTCTTTGGAGATATCCTATTCAGGCCAGAAGCACCGAAATAAAAAATGTAATTTTCAATTTACACAGCTGTGTTGGGCAAAGATCTCTGCATTTACTGCTGACACTACAGAATATGCCTGATACAGATGTATTTCCTAGGAGGTCTAAACACAGTGTCAGTGTCTTAGGCTGACACACTATGAGCTGGGACAGCATCCTGGATGGTATTTTTAATATTTCTGTTTCAAGGTCTCTTCCTCACAGTTACTTCAGTCTATCCTTGTGCTCTGGGGTGTGTGTGTAAACCAAGGCCTTTCTTAACCTGTTAAAAGAGTACCTGAGGTTTTTCCTACGGTCCATTGAAAATTAAGGATTTCCCACTAGTTTGCATGGCCAAAGGAACTTCCAGAACATACTTTCAAGTGACCTTTGTAGTAGTGGATGTAATCTTTACTCAGTGGTGTTCACTTTTTTGCTGATATGACCAAAGTCTCAGTGACACACAGGTACACGTGTCTCTGAATGCTCCCTGTGTGCTCAAAGTCACTGATTAGTCCTGGGACTACTGAAGTTCTAGATTCCTTTAAGCATGTGTTGCTTGTCTTTTGTCTCATCCTGTGTTACTGAGCAGGAGCCTCTATGCTAAGCTGAAGACAGAAGCTTTGACAAGCTCAGTGTTTCAGCAGCTTCTTGCAGTTTAAGCGTCCCAGGAGCCCTACACTGTGGTTTCCTGGTTACTGAACATCTACAGTCTCGGTTCCTTTAGTTGTTTTGGAGCCCTGAGACAGCACCTCTCGATGTATGTTTGCAGCCTCTGCCTTCTGTTGGTTTTACCTCACCCTTCTGTCCTGTAGCTCAAACCTAGAGTGCCAGTTCCAATCACTGTGGTACTGAGTAGCACTTCCTCCACTCTCCTTGCACCATTTTTTTCAGAAGTTGTTATTGATCACTGGCACCATCTTGGTGGCAGGGTGAACATTTGAGCCTTTTATCCTCATAAGCAGTAACATTCAAGGGAATCACTCCCAGTTCATGAAACCTCTTACTCTAGGTTCGGCTGTGTGCTCATCTTCATTCCAAACTGGCGTTGTTAACCACCATAATGAAGTGCCTGTGTCTAGAGCAGTATTACTGCCTTGTATTGGCCTGATGCCAAGGAATACTGCCAAGGAAGATGATGCACTCTGGTGTCCACCTGAGAGGAAACCAAGCTGACCAGCAGTTGTCCTTCACATGCCTCCTGAGCATTTCCACAAGCCAGAGTAAGGCCCAAGGCCAAGGAGAGAAAAGGGAAGAAAAGAAAGGGCTATAGTGGGGTAAAATGAGGGAATGAAGAACAGAGAAGAGATGAGCCTTTTTCCCACCCTCTGCAGCTTCTGCTGTTAATTGCTAGCTGGTAATATGTCGACATGGTTGAAGCTGTATTCTTTTAAGTTTGTTAACCTTGTCTTTACCCTTGTCTGAGTGTGTGCATGCAGTTAGGTACCAGCTGGCTGACAAGGTAAAGGAGCTTGTGGCAGCTGTTGTAACTTGATATTTTACCTAGGGGTGACCATAGCCAGTGCCCCTAACACACATTTAAGGAAGTTACCCATGGATATGCTTTCATGGATTATTATAATTTATTCTGCTCCATGTGTTGAGTTCTAGCTCATGCAAGACTGAAAACTGATGTCAAGTCAAGCCTGTATATTTCTCAAACCATATAAAATCAGTGTGTCAATAGGTAGAGTCCAGCTTCAGTTTGGAGCACCATCCCATAGCAGGAAGGGCATAGCTGGGAGCCAGAGCAACCTTGCAGACAGTGATGCCCATGCATCTACAAGGGGTGGGCACTTATCTATTTGTAGATTAGACTGTTCAGCCTCATCTTTCCAAAATGTGTTTCTTTATTGTGAAGAAATGTACTGTGCTTCCTTTAGTCATCACTGTCACCCTGGCACATTTTGGCAGCTGGAAGGAGCCACCTTCCTTGAGCAGCCTCAATTTGCCAAACGTTTTTTGTTTGCTTGCCAGTGTCAAATGGGTAACAATAACACTTCCTATGCAACAGATTTCAAGACAGTGGGGATGTCTGTTCTGCCACACAGCTGGCTGCCAGTTCTGCTTCCTACACTGCTGATTTAGTCCATACAAATGATTCCAAAACTAGTAATAAAGCAGAAGTTATGTCTCTGTCAGCTAAGAAAATATGGCTGCAAAGAAAAAAAGACTTAACCACTCAAATTCTTGTTTTAAAAGTGAGTGGATGATCAGTTTCTTTCTGATTAGGAAAAGAATACTCCTGCCTTTTAGATATTTAAAAGTTCTGAATATTTCCAAAAGATTTTAATCCAGTTCCAATATTCAGTTTTCATCATAAACAATGTTTTAGAAAATCATGCAGACATCACATACTTGTACTGGCATTCTCTTCTTTTCATGTTACAGATTTATAAAATGAAATGCCTTAAATACCAGGAGTTAAAAAGTTTTTAGGTTTTTCAGACCAGGTAGGTGACATAATCTGGCTAAAGAGAGACAGAGAACTGCTGTTGCAAATGTTGAATGTTAAATTTAGCATGAGTCGTCCCATTCTGTTTATTGACTTGACTTCATTCTTAGTCACCTAGCATGACTGTTCATTCTCATATCTTTGGGGAGCAAACCTTTCCATCACCCTGGCCTGAACTCTGGAATAATGCAGGCAGTCTATGGCATATTCCACTTTTGATAACTAAGGTAAAGCTTCAGTAATGCTGTGACTCAACAAAAAGCAAGGCTCCTTTTAAACTGCCTTTCACCCAGAGTGCCAAGGCCTCCAAACATATAGAGTGGCTGCTGTGTAAATGGACTGACTTATATACCTTGTTCAAGCACTTGATGGGCATCCAGCAAGCCCTGTCTGAATTAAAGGCTGTTTAATCATTAGGAGTTCATGCTTTCATTGGTAAAAATAGAATAATACACTGCCCTTGAGAAAATGTGAAGTGAGCTGGCCTTCTAACAACAGTGTGCTGGGCTCCACATGAGTTCCGTAGTGTTTGCAGAGTCCTTGCCCAGATGCGTGCATAGAGCAAGTAGTCAAAAAGGGGGAAGAAAGTTCCCTTGTCTTCAAGTTTCCTATCGTCAAGTTTCTGAAGTCAACTCACTTGTTGGGTTGGGTTTTATCCCTAACTTGTTATTAATATTGCCAGCCACGTAAACTTTGTCAGAACTTGGAAATTATTTTCTTAAGGCCTGCAGAAATCCATGGTACCATACTTGAAGTCAGGATGCACATTCAGAAATAGTTGACAAAGCAACAAAATGGATGACTGGCAATTACAGGAAATTAGGCTAACAGATTCACAGGATGTTTTCCATTTTGTGCCAGTTTGTGAGGTATTTAAATCTGTGTACTCTCTTAGTGATTTTTTAGAGGAATAGAAACTGGGATCACCAGATCAACTTCAAAGTAAGGAGACTTGCCCTTTCTAGAAAGTTCTCTCATGTTCTTTGGAAAGAAAAAAGCTGGAGGAAAATGTTTCAACAGACATCTCGATTTTTTTTTCTTCACCTACTAAAGATGTGATTTTGTTTTTAGTGATGGGAGGATTATTCAGTGGTACATGTCCCTGAAGGGAAAGTCCCAGGGTATTGTTTATGTGAATGACAAACCAAGCTGATACATAACTGTGCTACTCAGTATCATTGCTCAATTAGCTGTATAGTTAGCTAATTTCTTAAAAAAAAAAAAAAAGCATTGCCTAGTGAGAAAAAAAATATTGAATTATTTCCTATTAAAAAGGAATTTTAGAAATAAAATCTTGTGATTTCAGCAATTAATTTTTAACTCTTACATAACTGTCTAGAAGAAGAAACTTTATTTGAGTTCTTTCTAAATTAATCTTCAACAGAAAGCTGTATCTCATCTGCTCGCAGCTAAGAATACTTGTAGGTCTTTCACTCTAGTTCTGGCCTGGATTTGACATGATTATACGAAGGCAAAATTAAAAAAAACTGGTGATTAGCTTTTCCTGAGTCTTTCAAAACTAGAGGACACTAGAAATAAGAAATTTGTAAATAAATCCCTCTGTATAAGAGGAATTTTAGGAATTTTATTTTGAAATTGAATTGCTATGATTCTAGAAAGTGATTGAAAGAAAATATTCTTTCCTGTGCAAACTAAACACTCAGAAATGGCAAGAAAATGAGGGCATGCTCAGGCTACACCACTCCTGGCCCAAGTTAAACATACTTAGCACTCTCTTTGATTCTTCCAAAAAGGTATTTAATTTCATTAGATGCTAAGCTGCATCCATGACCTCTGACTATTCTTTCTGAGAGAGATCCTTTTCTTCTGCTATTTTTCATGGCCTACTCAATGTTTTAGTTTATGCAGGAGAGAACAATTCACCAGGAATCTCAGAATTTGGCCTGTAAGTGATACAACTATAAAAGATTCATTGTAGAATACAGAGCTCTTTGGTAATACATGTATTTTTATTACAGATGCTCCATATACTTTTCTTTGAATCTTCTTCTCTGTACGTGGTTGCAATTAGAATAAGGCAAACAGGAGGTGTCAGCAGTGTATGATGCATTATCAACCTGTTGAAACATCTCTGTACACAGTAAGGTGCTGTTACATTGGGCATATGTGTGTTTATATGAATTTGTGACTGTTTATTGAAGTATCTTAGAGCTTTAGACTTTGAACAAAGGAATGTAAAAACATATGATCGATAATTAACTTGTTTTGTCATATTAAGAAACATTTTTGCATAAACTACTGCTCAATACAAGAGAAAAATCTGCTCTAAGATGATGTTATGGATGACATAATGCTTCTGTTTAAAAACCTGCAATCAACATTTAAATGCAATTGAGTATGTTAATAAAGTAATTACAAAAATGTACACCTTAAAGACTAAATTTTAGAATGCACTTACACTATCAAAGTATGTTTTCATGACATGAAGTTTTAGGAATGATAACTTAGTAAAATTTAAAATACTTCTATACATATTTTATTTAGATTTATTTGTCACTCTGCATATCAGGGAAATGCAGAACTTGCATGTTTTACATGCTGCACCAGCACACTTTTCAACATTATATAATAACAAGCTACACTTCTGAGAAGCCTCATTTGCTCTGTTCACTTGCACTTAACTTGTTTGATGAGTTTTCATATTGCTTTGGTTTTGGTCATTTAAAACACCAGTCCAGCTCCCCAAAGTGAGAATCTTAGTGTAGCATCTAAAAAGCTGGCTGAGGTCACTTTCAGGGGGAAGTGCTTTCCTGAACCATTAAATAAGTTCCCTAAGTAATTTCTGGCCTCGGACTATCTTAAACTTTGGTTTTGCATGTTTCTTTCTTATGAACTTGATTATTTACAGTTCAAATCAACTGTACAATACAGTTCTGCATACAGTTCTCTCCCCAGCACAAGAAGGACATGGAATTATTTGAGCTAGTCCAGAGGAAGGCCATAATATTGATAAGAGGACTGGAGAAACTCCCCTACAAAGACAGGCTGAGAAAGCTGGGGCTGTTCAGTCTGGAGAAGGGAAGGCTGTGGGGGGACCTCACAGCAACCTGCCAGTGTCTGCAGGGAATCAAGGAAGCCAGAGAGGGACTTTGTCAGGAGCTACAGCACAATGAGTAGTGAAAATTTGAAAGAGAGACAATTTAGGTTAGGTATTAGGAAGACATATTTTACTGTGAGGGTGGTTGGACACTGGAACAGGTTGCCCAGGGCCTTGTTAGTGCCCCAGGCCTGTCAGTGCTCAAGGCCAGCTTGGAGAAAGCCTTGAGCAACCTGGTCTAGTGGAAAGTGTCCTTGCCCATGGCAGGGGACTTGGGACTAGATGATGTTTAGGGTCCCTTCCAATCCCCTACCAGTCCATGATTCTGTGATAAAGCCCAGCCACCATGGGCAATGGGTTACAGAGACTGAATGCCTGAATCACCCCAATGAACTCCCTTTCTCTTACACAAAAGTACCTGGCTGTGTGATAGCAGCAAGCTGGCATCCCCTTACCTGACTGCGTACCCAAGTGCTGCGCAGTGTAGAACAGGATCCCATCTGGAGAGAGAGGCTGGAACTGCAGTTTAATATGGGTCTTGTGCCGGATATAAAAGGGTGCAAATGACATCCATGATGATTCATTATTTCTGAAGGATGCATCACTAATGGAAATATCTGAAAAATGCAAGACAGAATGTCTTCTGAAAGATATTTTGAGAGGACAGCATTATTATGGAACCAGTTATTTTGTATGGTTTTTAAATTCTGTACATAATACTTCCCATTCTTCACTTTTCACAGAATAAAAATAACCTAGATACAAAATAAAACTTAGATAATAGCAAATCAATGCCATTGTCTTCTGGGTTCCTTATTTTCCTCAACAATTAGGGCTGCAGTTCTGATGCAAAATAAATATGATCTTGTTAGCATTCATTTTCAAATAAGTATAAGTGTAAATTTCACATTGTTTAAAAAATGAAATGCAAAATGCTGTTGCAGGAGTCAAAATAAACATTTTTTTTCTCACCCTACAGATGAAAATCCTAGTGGAGGATTTGTAATGAGCTGCTTTGTGTGTTATAAGAATGTACCTTTTAAGTGGGAACAATTCATTAATTGTTGCTGAAATTTGTTTTTCGGGTAATCATACTGAGATGTTTTAATTCAAATAATCCTGTTTTATAGTGAAAGAGAACACTCACACAATTACAGTTAGAATACAATGTACACTTTTGAGCTATACACAACTTATCATTCTGTCTTACCTCTTCCCTCAGCACTGGTTGTTCATATACCACTACAAAATCAGGCTGGTTCAGTTGCCTTCAGTCAACTGATAAATTATTATACTTTTCTATAATGCTTATGTGACTTGAAAAATTTTCCAGTTTTTCCCACTGTAACATTGCATATTTGAGATATACTGATCATAGAATCAAAGAATCTCAGAATGAGTTGGTTTGGAAGGGACCTTAAAGATCATCTTGATCCAACTGCCCTGCTATGGCTAGGGACACCTTCCACTAGGTCAGCTTGCTCAGGACTCCATCCAGCCAGGTCTTGGGCACTTCCAGAGGTGGGGCATCCACAACTTTTCTGGGCAGCCTGTTCCCGTGCCTCACCAGCCTCAAAGATTTTTTTCTTAATACCTAATCTCAACCTACTCTCAGCTTGAAGCCATTCCCCCTTGTCCTGTAACTACACGCTCTTGTAAATAAACTCTCTAATAATGTGAGGTATTAGCTAATTCATGATCATGTTAGTGGTAGTTTTGTGTAGATAAGGTAGTTGTTACTTTACTGTATTTGGGGGTTCACTGGAATAATCAAGCTACTGAAATGTGCTGGGCGTATTTAGACCTGTGTGTGCAAAACTGTTTTTACTGTTTAGTTAAACAGCAGTGTTAAATGCCTGAGTTGTAAGCATTTTCTCACTTCTGCATTTCCCAGCTGAAGCTGTGCTGTTTTCCATCTAAGAGACCAATGTCTTTACTCATTTTGGTGCTCCCAATTTCATTGTTTCATGGTAACTTGCTCTCAGTCACATATACCTTCAGGATGTCCTTGAAGTGCATTCTGAGGTACCTTTTGCTGTCTTTCCACACTCAAGTTTTCTGCCCAGCATCTGCTGATGAGCCCACTCACCACCCAGCTGCACCTTGCACTGCCTATCACAGATGGGCCTCAGTTATTAGGCTGGAACACAGCCAGCACGTTGCAAGCTCCTGTCATTTGTCTATTTGTCACTCCACCTCCCTCAGAACAGGGCTCAAGGTGTCCCTGGTGGACAGTGTCCAGCAGGCAGATGCATCACTGCAGAAGATCCAGATCTCTCTGTTATCAGCATAACCTGACCTGAGGATGCCTCTTGAATGGGCAGTAACTGCACAGCTGACCTTTTTACTAATTCCCCCCGGTAGATTACAGATAATATTTCTGAGGAGGTACGTGGATTTAATGACACAAAATCTCAGTAAGTCTAAAAGTAAGTTGTAATCACTAGATTATTGGTTAGAATGGATTTATTTAATGCTTGAATGATCTGATTCAGGCTTTTGATGGGCTGTTGTTCAATCTATGTATATTCTCAAATCACTCCCATCCTAAGGGTCACAATAGCTGTTATGCATGCTATCAAGGCTAGGCAGTGTCTGTAGTAATATATTACATAATGGCTAAAGCATGAAGTTCCTGGCATCTATACTTGAGGGTTCACAGAAACAGAAGTATTTAGAATAGCAATTACCCTAGATGACAAATAGTAATAAAGATTGCTAAACAGATTTGGTGCTGTACTTTACATCACTAAAACTTATTAACACTATCAGGTACAAAAGACAGAGTAACACTTTTTATTCCATATGGATTTTTTTTTTCAGTAGATGAGACAAGGCTCTCCATTAGTAGTTAAAACCCTTATATTGATGTCTTCATATTTTAAAAACAATCAGTAATAATAATTCATTTTGTACATAGACTTTTTTTTCATGCATAATTTGTAAGTCAGTCTCCTCCTAGCAGATTTTTGCACAGTGAGACTTACATGTGGAGGAACTGTGCCACAGTGGTCAATCTTACATGAAAATGTGCTGCTGCTTGAAAGGTCGCCTTAGTCAAAGTGTGTAATGAGGTATCTGAAAGTCTCTATGGCAGATTCAGTGTCACTTTATCAATGCAGTTAATTCGTTGCTGCTTATGGAGGAAGCCTGGGCAATGACTAGTGTGAGAGCAAAATCAGCAGGATTGAAATGCTACATTGCTTGTTATTGGGAGGGATATGAAAGGAAGATTGCTGTGATAAAAAGCCTTGAAGCAGAGAAAGAGAACAAGGATAAAAGATGATTTTATACTATCCCTCAGAGAAAGAATTAAGTCCATGGTTTCATATTTCAGGTAGAGTATTAAAAAATAAGACCCACAGCTTCAGCAACAGATGTCAATAGTAAGTTCTTTTAGTAAGGAAGGTATTACCCTGATTTATAGATATCAAATACAATACTCTATTTAATATACTTCATTCTGGAACTTCTAAGATGCAAATATTGTATTTTCGTTATCTATGAAAAGTATGCTTATTCCCAATAAATGTATCTTACAAGTGTCAGAAAGTAACATATTTTGCCACAATGCAGCAGGAGTAACTATAGGAAGTACTAGAATGGTACTTGTAAATGTCCTGTAGATCCTGCAGGTACTGATTATATGCATGGAAAAAATCTGGCTTGACAGGTGTTTGGAATCCATACATGCACACATATCCCAAAACAGAATGCATTGACTCTACCACAGTGCACAGAGGTGAGCAGTATGAAATTTCATTTTTGCAAAATTGCTTCTATAGACAGACAAACTTTGAACGTGAAGAATGTGACAATCCAAGCTTTTCAATTTTCTTTTATGGCAGGCATATACAAAACTAACACATCAGAGGCTGAGGCACTCTAATGCTGTTTTCTTGGCAGGAAACTTTGTTTTTCACCTAAAATAAGAAAATAAGAAGCTCAGCTAAACTTGCACAAAACAACACCTGTGTTAGATATGATTACTCCTGAGAAACTCTTTGCTAAAACAAATGGGGTAAATGGATGCCTTTGCTGATCCTATAAGCTAAATTGGTAGGAACTTAGCTGTGTAGCTACTGCATTACTCACTAGAATGCTTAGCATCGTGGGATGCATTGTGACTACAGCAGGCATTTACACAAATACCTCTGTATCTGATTAATGGCTCTGTTTTCTGAGCTGAACACGAGTATCTGATGATGCTACACAGAATCACAGCATGGTTGGAAGGGACCACAGTGGATCACCTGGTCCAGCCTCCCTGCCCAAGCTGGGTCATCCCAGAGCCCATGGCACAGGGTTTGTGTCCAGACAGTTCTTGAATATCTCCAGTGACAGAGACCCTGCAGCCTCTCTGGGCAATGTGTTCCAGCTTCCAACAAGAAGGGGAAAGGAAATGTGAGTCACTGCTCAAAGGAGTGAGGACCTAATAACAAAAGACATAGAAAAAACCATGTTTGGCTCATTTTCTCACTTGGTAAAGCCTGATCAAGCCTCCCCACACCTGATAGCTGAGCTAGGGCAAGTGAAACATCAGTTCCACAGTGATGAGACAGGTGTTAAGGTCCAACCTGCAAATCAGTCTGTGAGTCAGGGTCCAGATGAAGTGGATCTTGATGCTGCTACAGTGTAATTCAGCATGGGATCATGGGGTATTTAAAGCTGCTCCTGAAGCAATGCAGGAGGAAACTCCTGCTGGGGCTTCTCAACAAAACTGTCTGAGACACAACACCAGCCCCATCCCTGTGGGCTGAGAAATGCTCTCAGAGCTTTAAACTCATAATAGGAACTTATATATTGAACTCACATTTATACACTTTAATCTGGGTGCTTTGCTTTAAAACTAGTTCCCACCATTACCTACCTACCTACCTACCTACCTACCTACCTACCTCTGAACACTTTCACAAAGTAAGATGGCAAACACATTTTCAGCATATTGTTCATGCTCATAGGGGAAGTGTAAGTAATTTCAGAGTCATCCTGCTAAGTGCTAGTTAGCTGGCTGGATCTTGTTCTTGTTCGGTTGGGTGAGTGGAGGGAATGGTCAGTAGATGACTGAATTTTCATTGGGACACCACATTCCATGATGACATGGCTGACTTACTGTGGAGGGCATAAACATCTCCTTCATTTTATCATATATGACTTCCCCTTGGGTTTCTGTATGATGTATTTGAGTAGGTAACTAATTTTATTCTACTTGGCATTTTAAATTATATAGATAAATATTGCAAATGCATTTTCCCTTGTGCCTGTCTTGAATATAAAGTTTACTGGGCTGTTAATAACAAACTTGAAGGCTTAGATGACCTTTGGGTAAAACTACCTTTCAGGTAAAATTTAGACAACACATTTTATCCTTATGCAACATGAATGCTGTGGCTACTACTTAAGCATTTTCTCATGTTGCCACAAATTTTCAAAAAATGTCACTGGACACAAAGCTTGATGGGATTGGCATTGCTTACATGACTAAAAGACAATAGTGACAATAGTGACAATAGTCACTGTGACTCAATAGCAAATTGCCCTTGTGGTTAAACATAGAAACAAGTGTCCTAATGGTAACTATGAAACAGACTGTGCAAGTCCAACTGCATTGTCAGGTAAATCCAACATAAGTGTACATGACTGTGTATATAAGGTGTCTTGTCATGTACAAGTTGAGCTAAACCTTACAGTGAATTAATTTATCTTACAATAGTAGCCAAAATAAGTCAAGTAACATTCTATACTGTGTAGAAAGTAAAAAATATTTATAGTAAAAATTATTTCAAAAGTAAAGGGTTTTTGTTCTGTTCGTTTATCAGGTAGTTTCAAAAATTTGCTATACTTTTATATCAGAATAATTTGACATCAAAATAATATGTAGGAAATTGACTTGAGCTGAATAAACATAGCCCAAGGAAGTTGCTCGCCCTTTGTTCATCAAGGAAATGGCTTTATTGCTTGACATGTATCTCTTTAAACCAAGGATGGAGCAATGAAAACTCTTTACATTTTCTTTCAGTCCTTCAAGAGTTGTTCATTGACAGGCGATATTAGTAGCTGCGGAATTCAGAGACTAATATACAGTTGAAGAATTCTGTTTATTAACTTGTTTCTTTGTGAAAAAGGCAGTAGCATTCTGTTACCATGCCTTGAAGTCAAGAAAAATTATCACAATAGATTTTATGAATGTATGTGGCACAAACTATTCCTGCTAAAGAAAACTGCTGAATAATTTAAAATTCATAGAAATGCTGTGATGAAAACTCTGTTTATTTTCACCACCGGCAAGTGTTCTCCAATAGTGCCATCTATAGAATCTTTCAAATATTGCATTGCTATCCCCTTAAATAACATCATTTTTTCTGTTTTCTCACAATTAACTAATCTGAAATTGTAGGTCTTCTTAATTCCTCTACAAAATTATCTGGGAAATAAATATACTCAGGACCTATAGAAACTCTATCTTATGTGTAAATATATCTCAATGTGTAATGGAACGTCAGAGGAACTTTATTGACTTAAAATTTATTTTTGTTCAAGTTTTTCATAGCCTTTGGTGATGCTGCTTATGACAAGATTCAAGACTTGATTTAATCCATTAAGACAAATGGCAAGAAAAAAAGAGGTAAGCAATAAATGTTTAGATTCTAAAAGAGTGCTTCAGGGAGATATTGCATGTAGTTGCTGTGTCAATTTTTTCTCTAAACCTCCATTGTTGGCCACTGCTGGAGACAGGATTACTGACTGGCCTCACACAGGCACACAGCTCTTAGGAGAGGAATAAGCTGCTAAGATAGAATTCAGCAGAGATTAAAATATAAATGCAGGCTGTAATTAAGGATAATGCCTGTAATTTTAATATTCACATATCTTAGTAATTACTATTTGTGAAAAAATATATTGTGTATTACATATGTAATAATGTGCTATATAATTAAACTACCTGCTGTAAAAGGGTTTTACACTGTTTCTTCTTTCTCAGGAAGAATCATCCTTGACATTTGATCTTGCCCACTCTTTCTCACAGTAATAATCACAGTGAAACCAACAGGTCTATTATACACTTGCAGGGGAACTGAAAAAACAGGTCCTTAGAGACTTCTCCCTCTTCAGAAGCCCTTTGAGAGATCTAATTACAAAGGTATTCATAGGCACAAATGGAATATGCTGGAATTTGGCCTGGAAAACCATGCAGGACACTCCCCAGACAAATTACTGGAAACTCTTGTTGGTTTTGAATATTGTGTGTTCTTGAAATAACTAAATTATTATGCTGCTGTGGGCTGAATCTTCTTAATCAGAAGAAAAGTTATAATTGTCTGGTGCTTTAGTTGCAAACTTTAAGTCAGATGACCCAAAGATTTTATTAACATCATGTTTTGGTGTCATGGAAAACATAACAATTTTTAAAAAAACCCTAGATAAACTACTTCCCCATATTTCCAATACTTGTGGTTATGGGACTGCTAACTAAGAATTAATGCTGGGTCAGATCATGGCAATGTTTGGATGCCATTTATGCACCTCAGGAGCTGGGCTGGCTTTGCTGTGTTGCTGTCACAGCTGTGACCTTTTCAAACCAGTGGAACAAGATTCGCTGCTTCATGTGTCACAAAGAGTCTTGGAAGTGGTTTGAGTCCAAATGGCAATGTTAACACCAAGCAAAATAGACTCCTCCATGAATCTTCTATTTCCTTCTCATTTCATTTAAATCACTTTTGTTTCTGGAGGTATAAATTAATAACATTTTTGTTTGTTTACATCAGTGTTAGCTTTCTAAAGCTAACACTCTCATTTTATGAGTGTTAATGGGTTTGGACAACACAGTACACCCAAGAAGTGGAGTTTTAAGTTGTTGAACAAATGTATTACTCTGCCTTGCATGACAAGGCTTTATTTCTTGGGCCCATTCTGATCTAATTTACATCCCTGTCCTTCTTTCCTAGTGCTCATTATGGATGCTTGCCTTCCCAAAACTGGTCTTAAATTTTACAGGCATCTTTCTATTTGTCAGTCACCAGGGTACTGTCTACCTGCTGAACCTCTTGATCTTTCTCTGAGAAAAGCAAGTCCTGGTACTTGCTTTACCAGGTTGAAATATACAGTGAAATATTTGCTCTCAGTATTTCAGCCTACAAAATATCACTGCACTACTTCCTGAATATGAATTTGTTGTGCACAGGCAATAGGAAATTAAGACTAATTGAAATTGCTACCTTCTCATTGTCAAGTGGGTTTATTTCCTTCTATTTCCTCTAACACCTTTCTGCAACCTCCTGAGAGTATTGCTCAATTTGCCTATTGGCAATGTCGCTGTGAGATATTCAAGTGAGTCCTGTGACTCTCGGGCCGTAAGTGTGCCATGAAAACTGTGTTCCTTAACAGAACTTTCTCTCCCTGTGCTCAGTCTTGTTCTAACTTAGTTTTCCAACCACTGAACACTTGCTAGTGGAGCTCTGACATCTAAAGCTTAACCATAATGCACCCTATCTCTGTGCTGACAGCCATTGCATCCTTGGTGGCTTGAGCTGATTCTCTAGGCAAGACCATTACAGTGAAGAAGGGCATCATCCTCATCTGCTCATTTGCTTTCATGTATCCTCTCTCATGTACATAGTTAATAAAGAACCTCAAACATTTTTAGTGTTTGCCAAACAAGCTAATGCTTGTTTATTGATGATTTAGCCTGAGTACCCTTAATAGTTGTGTTCAGAGTGCTCTTGCTTATTATTGTGGTTCTACCCCTATTGCCCCATTTTCTTGCTTCACCTGACCTGTTCCTGTGCAATCCATACTGTTGTGCTGTCTTTACCAGTTGCTGTTATCTGGTAAAGCCCTGTTTGTTCTTACCCTTTGTAATTCTACTCTATGCTCTTCTTGCTTCATAAATCTCTTTTGTCTTCTTCTCACACTTTTTTCCTTCCTGCCGGTACATTCATTAGTCTTCATCCTTTAATTACCCTTTGTTTCTCCCAGTCCCTTGGGCCTTTCATTGCTCTCTGTCTCTTTTTCCTTTGGCTCCAATAACCACCATTAATCCAGAGATGAGATATTCAATCTTGATAAGCAGCTGTTTTTTAGCAATTTGCCATCCACTAAAAGTGCAAACTGCTCTTTCAAAAATCTCATGATAATTCATTATTCTGCCACAGAGTAAGGTGAAATACAGGGCACAGAGTTTGGTCAGGATCCACAGTACCTATTCATAAAAGGAAAGCTTTTAAATAAAACAGAGATGAACCCTCTAATGTCTTTATCAGGTGAAGAATTACTGCAAGAAAGACAATCTGTAAGAAATACAATTTTCTCTTGCTCCAATAGAAGTCCTATACTGATAATGTGGCCATCATAAGAAGACCCAAATGTATTCTGGGACCAGAACACAGGACTGTGTACCTGATTAATTACCAGCTTTGTGTATAGCACATATCCTGATGATCAGTGTCCTGAATCCAGATGGCATTACTTTTGAAAACCTCACTTCAAATAAGAATTCAAAATTGAAAAGTTCATAGAAAGAGCCTTGAACAGCTGTTGCAGCAGAGGCAATAAAGGAAGCACATTCTTACGTGGAATAAGGAATTCAACAGTAACTTTCCAGAAGTTATATTCTTTTTCATTTGAGCCTACCAATTCCACATGTAATGGGATTTAAGAACTATCCATCTACAGGGTGAGGAGGACTGCAAATCAGGTCAAATGCAGTTCAGCTTGTCAGTTTTGTGCTTCAAACTCACACAACAAGAGAGCTGGACTTTGACAGGCGGCTTGGGAAGGCAGCTATTTAACTGTAACTGGAGTTCTCCAAAAGTTTTACAGAAAGCTTCTCAACAGCAAAACAAAAGCTTGTACAAAATTAACGTGAATCTAAGAGCTGTGGAATAGAGGGTGTGGACTGTACCTCCTTACACACAGGGTCAATTTGGACACTTTCAGGAAAAGTCCCTGAGCTTGCAACACCTGTGTGTCCACATTGTTGAATATTTGCACAATCTCTCAGAGAAGAAAGCATAAAGAATTCCTTTACATGAGGGTAAAAAACGCAAAACCTGCAAACTGAGCAAATATTTTGAAAGTGGCTTGTTGAAAGAAAGCCAGGGAGAATAATCACTTGTGGATTTTACAGTGATGTTTGCATCTCTTGTCATCATTATCAGTGCATCCCTACCCAGGAGGCTGTAAAGTCAACAGGAACCTCACCATTAGGATCAGTAGAAATTGGATAAGGTCCCAGATGCTTCCCTCTACTGTGATCTCAAGTGTATTTCCCATCATACTTCATTATGATGAGCTTGGGAATTGAACTAAGCACTATAACATTGCTCTGCAATTCTTCCTGTCCCCTTGGTGTCTGACAAATCATGCTTGAGAGCTTGGTTGATTGATTTGAAAAAATTGAAGGAAAAAATGGCATTAAAAATAAGCAAAGTAAGGAAACAATATCTAATAATTCATTGCTTTAAATTACTTTTTCCAACAGAAAGGAACATCATTTTCTTAAATCTACTTTGTATTTTGTGTCTCTATGTCACATTTAACTGATATATTGCAAAATGCTGTGGTTTTACATCACCTAACTGTGTGTACAATGTACTGTGCATTTGACATACCTTGTTCACAGTAGGTACCAGTTGTTCCAAGAGGACAGTGACATGTGTAGCCACCAGGCAGTGGCACACAGGTACTGCCTTGCTGACACAGATGTGGAGGATCATGCTCAGGATCACACACTGACACAGTTTCTGTGCAAAATGCACCTTTCCATCCAGTGAGGCAGTCACAGCTGCGGAGGATAAATGAAGGGAAAGAATACAACAGCATTATCAAAAGAAATCAACGTGTCAGTAGCAATCTAATCAAGAGATTTTCAAATTTGGACACCTATATTGAATAACCTGAATGAAAACAGTTAACAAGAATAGGGTAGTAATCAAGTTCCTCATTTAACTATTTGATATGTTAATTTTATTATAAAAGAAAAATGTACATAACAGGAAATAAATATTTTCTCATGAATAGTAACATTACAATATTAGCATCTGTTTAAAAATAAAAAAGGCTTGTAGCTTTCATATGTTTGTTTTGCTCTACAAATACTTCCAAAAGGCCCTGGCTTCACCAGGAGGGGTTAAAGTGGGCATTAAAAGGGAAAGCTAAGCAGCAAAAAACAGTCATAAAAATAAAACCAGCATAAGGGAATTGCCAACAGTTACAAATTTTAGCTACTAAAATTTGAGTCTGTCAGCAACTGCCTTTCACTTAGCCATTGGTAATTTTCTAAATTCTTATAACTGGAGTATCAGATGTAGGTTTGTTGAAGCACTTGATGGAAAAGAGGATAGTAGGTATAGCCATGAAAGAGGTGGCAATCTGAGTTTCATATATCTATGATTGTAATCCTATACCAAATGTAAACTTTCTAAACTGACTGAACCATTGAACTTGTTATTTTCTGCTAAACTTTATGCCTTTCTTTCATCCAGGCTGCAAAACAAACCCAAAAAAGTCACACTAACTTATAAATTTAAAATTAGTATGAATTCTATAGAAATTGTTAAATACAGAATACACTTGGCATTTATGTTTAAAATGGCCTCCTTACAAAAGAGTTAAAATTACATATTTAGACCTATTTTTATTCTAGTATTTTGTATCTCTTTATTATTAAAAACTTATTCCCCTGAATAAAAACATTTATGAATTTTTTCACTGGAAGTTTTCTCTCTCAAGGCCAAGAATGAAAACTCATATTTTGATTGGGTTTTGATTGGTCCATGTTTGTTTGGTTTTTTGCTTTGTGCAAACTCTTGAATTTTTCCTTGCACTGACTGATTTGCACATCCTCCATTAATCAGCCCACTGCTTCTGCATAAAACATAATGAGGAGCTTGTGAAACTGCTGTTTCACCAAACCTTCAGATCAGACAACATGTAAACAAAGCACAGCCAACAAACCCTTCAGAGTGATAAACAGACATTTGGAATGAAGGGGAAAAGAGGACAGGACCTTGCAAAAGCAAAAGCACCTCAATTCATCAAAGTCAGCATCAGAATGCTTTGTGTCTCAGCTATAAATGTCATGCTTTGATGCATGAAAGCTGCTGAGAGGGGATGTGATTTAACTCCCTGAGTGCAAACAGCAGTGCCCCTTCCTTGTGCCATGAGGGAGGCTGCTGGAGGTGCTGCTGCTGCTCTTGGGCATTGCACATGAGGCTTCTTCCCCTTTCTCTGGCTTATGTCTGCTTATGTCTTTAAATTTCTTTTAAATCTTGTCTCTTATGATCTAACAGAAGTCAAGTTTTTAAATTAATTTAAAATTATTTGCACAGAGCTGAACCTGTTTGCTGGCCTACAGTAGCAATGATCTATCACCAAATGAAGCCCATTTAACACACCTAAGGTAGCTGGACAGCTGTTGAGAAGTTAGATCCAAAATTTCCTAATCTTTAGAGAGATGTGGAAGAAGAAGTGTTTTAGAAATTTTCCATCATACAGCCTGCCATGCTGGTCTAGTTTTCTCTATGTCTTCCTGGTTTTGGTTGCTTGTTTTTCTAGAGCTCAATAACTTGCACTAGTGACTTGACTCAGGGATTTAGAGACCTATTTAGAATCACAAAATACCTCAAGTTGGAAGGCACTCATAGGGATCTTTGAGTCCAACTCCCTGCTCCTTGCAGAACTACCTAAAAGTAAATTGTATGAGTAAGAGCATCATCCAGATGCTTCTTGTATTTCTTTAGGTATAAGAGGTGAGATTCACTCTGAGATGAAGGCAGTGAATTTGATGATACATCAGGTGCCCAGCTGGCTCCCAGCGGCCCTAGAGAGAGAGAGGCAGCTGTTGGCCAGGGAGACAAGTTTCTGACAGAGATCTAACAGAATGCCCAAGTATAAGCAATGGGATCCTCAAGTAAGTGAGCTCAGCTACTAATCAATCAGTGGTGATCGAGCAGGAACAGTCATGGCACCTGGAGCCCCATCCACCCCACAAACCAGCACATGCATGGCCCTAATGATGAAGTCCTGCATTCAGTGGCCTCAACACTGACAAATGATATTTGCCCTCTGATCCATGGTGTGTCTGAGAGATGTGTGAGCCAGCAGAAGAGCTGCAGAAGACTGTGCTCCTCTGGAGTGCTCCATTTCTGTGCTCCTATGAGGACCAGAAAAGTATCCCAGGACCTGTGCCATTGGAATGCCAGTGTTTAGACAACTGGAAAGGCCTGGATCTCCACTGACTCTAATAGGATCCTACAAATTTACCTCACCTGGAGACACTAAGTTTATGTGTCTTAGGAGACAATGTCACTGCGAGATACTTTCCTATTTTCAGGCTTCTTGAAGAACATGGATTAAATTAATTTTTCTATCCTAGAGATACCAGTATCTCAAGAGGAACTGCCAAAATGTCTTTTTTTCTTTTTTCTTCTTTTCTAAAGCATATTTTCAGGTGGGAAAGAATAGAAAGGCTTTCAAATACAACTTTGATTTTGTGTCAAAATGTCAATGATTTTGTGTCAAAACAAACTGTATAATCTTGAATCACCTGGTATTGCCAAGGAATCTCAACAGAATGCATTTCAGAGTAAGTACGGGACAAAGTTAGTCAGTTCAGGAAGCAAAACAAACTCCTTTTAAATTTTGGAAATTCAAATACTACTGCAAGTTCTGAAATATTTGTATTTAGAAAGCTCAAGGATGAATTAATTTAATGGCATTTTCTTTTTTGCTTCTTGAAAAATGCTTAAAAGTGTCATTCAATATTCATAGAATTGTTTATTCAGGTTCAAAGTTCCTTACCAAAGGCAAAATTAACTCTCAAGCTAATAACACAGTTTTTACATAAGCAAGGATGACAAGTGTATGTCACTGTCGATTATGAACCAAACCCAAAATTTTTTATCAAAATTCAGGCAAAAATAAAAAAAAAAAGTAATGAAAAGTAATCTTACACATAAAATATGTAAGAAGTGTGTGTGTTATTGCACAGAATCCTGTTCAAACTTTCTTGAAATAACTAAAGATCCTAAATGATTAGTGAAGAATTGGAAAGATAACTTAGATCTGAAACAAAACAAAAAACATTCTTCCATTAAATATGGAAAATATTTCATTTAAAAAGTCATTCTCAATGGTAACAAATATGGAATTTCCCATAGCTATGCAAATGTATAGGTATCAAATCAAACAAGTAACCTTATAGCAGAAAAGGAGATGTTCAGGTCTGCACATTCTGACCTGAATTTAGGATTCTATATGCAAGATGGGCATATACTCAATGGAGATCAGACGCTTAATTAATTTATCAAATTAGTGAGACCAGCTGAGATCGGGCAGATGTTTAGTGACATCTGAAACTCGCTAGGTATCTTGTGTGACCTCCAAACACTTCTTCAGGAGGAACTGAAACATATCTCAGCATCATTTAAGTATCTCAGATAATGCAGGACCAGGAAATCTTAAATCCATATTGGCATGTATTAGCCCCATCAAGCTGCCCCAATCCACAGGAGATTTCTTGATACAATTCTTGAATTTGTTTTGTAGTGGAAAGATTCTGTGCAAGAAAGGAAATTTCTAAGTAAGAGTGGTTTCAAATTCACACAGTGGAAAACCAGAGCATTAACAAAAAACAATCTATGTTCAGGCTGGAAGATAAGGATGGAGCCTGAAGGAAACAAGATTGGAAGAGAATCAGCTGTATTTAAACAAAGAGAACCATGGAATGCTGCAAAAGTGTCCTATTAAATAAGGCAAATTGGATGAAAGATTTTAGATAGCAAATTCACCCCTCAAAACAGAACCTTGTATTGTTTTAAACCATGATTATTAAACAGAGAAATGTATTTTTCCTTACAGAGTATGAGACTTATGTCCATGTGTTCCATATTGATTCTGTCCTTGCACTGCAAATTTATTTCAGTTGAATCTAGCCGAATAATGAGACTACAGAAGCTCCTATTGTGGGCCACCCCACACATATGGGGTATGATTTAATTTCTGAAACCTGAGTGGCTGTTCTCTTTGAAAGCTATAGAATACTGAGAAATCCACATGAGGCTTGGAGATATGACAGAAAACTTATTCAAGTCCCAAGTTCTTCTGAAGCCACAGCTGATGGCCAGACATATACCCAGAGGGGTCTAAAGTAGCACTGCACGCTCACATTCAGCAGATTGAATCCTCTCCATTTTGTCTGATGTTCTGTTCAAAGAGCACACAAGGTACATTTTTTTTCTTACTTCACCAACAAGAAGTAGCCATAACACCTAGCAGACAATCTTGTTACATGAAATTTTCTATTTTCCATAATTTTGCATCATAAATAAAATAATAGGGGATATTATTGTCCCTTGAAAATTATATTCTTCATTTTAATATTCCAGTAATTCCCCTTTGTTTTTTTAAAATGCAGCAGTTGTGCCTTGTTGCTGGCCAGAATGTAAAGATTAATGCTGCATATTTCTGTTTCTATTTAAATCAGAGCATTATCCCTATAGCAACTGAATCTACAGCTTAACAGCACTGCACACTTTCTGGCAGGGTGGTGAAAGCAAGACATAAAAATAGCTCAAAACAGCAACCAAAACCTCTGGAGAGATCTCATTTCAGCAGAGAAAATATTTGAACACAAATCCAGTTCCCTCAAGGACTCTGCTCTTCAAAGGAACACAGATGATTTGAAATTAGAAAGAAGTTCCCTCTGAGAAAATATATTGAGACAATATTGACAGCTACTGCACTTTGACAGAAATTAGATGTAAGCTAAATCCATGTCTCTTTGGCAATGCTCACTTTTTCTGTGAGAGGAAAAGGCGGCCATTACTGGTACATGCATGCACATGCACCTGGTGTGTGAAGACCTAGCTGTCCTGAGATATGGGGACAGGAAGAGAATTCAGTAGTAGGTCACTATAAATTAAAAGCAAACAAACAAACCACCAGAAAAACCAAATTACACCTTTTTTTCCGTCCTTCCTTCCCCCTTCCCCCAATGCCCCAGAAATTTTAGAATAATCCCTAAACTAATCTGGAGTACAAACTGTGATGATGAAAAAGAACTTTGTCTATAATACCAAGCTTGCTATGTTCTTCTGTCACCAGCTGCCATTCTAGCCTGCCACCTGCTTTCCAAATGGGCTCTGTATGCTGCTGGTGGTGGTTCACCTTAGGGACATGAAGGTGACAGCACAGCTGAGTAAATTGCTGAAGCAAGGATTTAGGTGGGTGGATGGATGGGAGTGGGACATTTCAGCCCATATTTATGCTTTTTTTGTGTTGCAATTTTGGTTTTGTATTGCCTCTAATGTGCTCATAAGGAGAAAGACCATTATCCTTTCTTGCTCCTCAGAAAGATCAAATGTCAAGGGTTTAACAGCTCTGGAAGGATCCTGCAAAGTGCAACAGTTGTGACATGCAGCAGTGCAACAATCAGAAAACAATTCCAAATTATATTTTTTAAAGTATTTCCTTCATTACTGTATTTAGCAGAATATAAATACACTCATTAGGGGAATGGGTAGCAATCTGTGTGCTAATCTTGGGGTCAGTTTTCCAAATATGAGTACAGTTTACTAGCTCTAGAAGCAGTTTTTTGTACAAATTTTCTTACAGGTGAAGATATGTGTCACAGGCAGCAAAACCAATTACCAAATAATTCTCTCTCCAATACAGAGTTAGTAGATTGTTTTTGGTTTGACAGGTATGCAAATGTTTTTCTTCATAGCACACAGAAAGGCAGGTTTTTGTTGTTTTAAGAAGCATCATACAGAGGCTCCATAGTGCAAAGCCTTTTTTCTCATTCAAATCTGTCTTGCTGTCTGCAATGTTTCCAGTCAGTATCTTAACAAGTTTTAAATCAGCACTTTTCCCTTTTTAAAAAATTTATTCAAATATGTGGAAATAAATGAGCACATGTGAAAGCACATAAGGGGAAGCAAGCACAATTAATCTTGGCAGATACTTCTAAAATAAAAAATCCTCATCAGCAAAGGTTTTACAGCTGTGTTGCAAAGTGAAAACAAAATTCATTACAATGGAAGTGTTGACACTCAACAGCAATTTGGAACTGCAAATGAGCTTCCTCCCTCTGTGCATACAGCCTGGGCACTCAGCTCCCTCTACACTGAGAGACAAGGCATGAAAGACCAGAGACTCATCTTTTGGGCAACCTCTCCTGGTTACCTCCTCTCATCCCACAGATCAGCCAGGTGAGCAGCTTAGAGATGAGCTGACAGACTTTGAACAATGTCTGGAGCTCCTACAGTTTAAACTGGTTCAGAACTTTCTAATATTGGACAGTCGGTGGTTTATTCCACAAGGGGTTTTTTAATGGAAAATAATAATTCCCAGGAAACAGACATTGCCTGTTTTTGCCCCATCAGTCACATTTGGACATTAACACAGTCAAGCTCTCCTCTTTATTACTTTTTCTCTGCTATTCCAGCTGCTCATTTAATTCTAAAGAAAGGGTCACACATCTAATTCTTCCCATGCATTTTCCAGTAGGTCTGGATGCCAGTGATTTAGTGGAGCACAACCAGTCCATGGAATTTCTTAAAAATATTCCCCAGAAATGGTTCTAACATTATTTTAATATTAATGTGTTTGTCTAACTGAATGAACTTTCATCACCTTCCTTCCTTCCTTCCTTCCTTCCTTCCTTCCTTCCTTCCTTCCTTCCTTCCTTCCTTCCTTCCT